TTTTTTTTTTTCTCCTTGAGAGACAAAATGTCCAAAAATGGTTCAGCTTGCTTAGCCCAATGATTTCTTGCATGGACGCTCTATTTTCCTTTTTTATTTTTTTTTTTAATTATTATTTTTGGATGGGGCAGGATCGAGTAGAAGAAATCGTTCGGTGAAGGGAATCCAGCGGTTTGCTCCCCGTTAAGGAGAAGATCAAGATCCGATTCCCAGCTGCACGCAGAGGACGGGGGTTGCCGTGGATCTTTCAGTCCGGCTTTCGAAGCCCTCGCTGCTGCAGGGTCAGAGCAGAACTGCCTCCTCCGAGCGGCTTTCCCGTCCTGCTGGTAGCCCAGAGATCGCCTCCCCCCTCCTCGCACCATTTCTGTTCGTGTTGTTTTTGTTTGATTGGTTTAGCTTTATTTTTCCCTCCCCTTTTTGTCTTTTTTTTTTCCCCTTTCGTTTATTATTATTATTATTAATTATTTGATTTGGGTAAATCGCCTTCCTTAAACGAAAATCCTAACTCTGCAATCGAAATCCATGCCCCCTGCCATTCGGAAGAACCGGGTCTAATATGCCAGTGACATCCCCGCCTTGCAGCAGTCGCGATGAAGGAAAAATCCAAGAACGCGGCAAAGACTAGACGGGAAAAAGAAAATGGAGAATTCTACGAACTGGCCAAACTCCTGCCCCTGCCCTCGGCCATCACCTCGCAGCTGGACAAGGCGTCCATCATCCGCCTCACCACCAGCTACCTGAAAATGCGAGCCGTCTTCCCCGAAGGTAAAAGCAGCCGCGGGGCTCCGGGAGCCCGGCAGGGACGGGGAGGCCGGGACGGAGCGGGGAGGGGGCGCTGGGGTGGGCACGACCCCATCAGCGCCCTGGCAGGAGGGAGGGGATGCCTGAAAGGCTCTCGGAACGAAGAGGGATTGAGGGAAAAGCGGGCTGGGAATGAGCCCCGAGCCCGGCGGCGGCAGGCAGAGCCGGCCGGTTCGTCCCCCCTTTCTCGCCCTCCTCCTGGGCTGCCGCTGAGCTCCGGCGGCTCGGGGGGACCGTCCCCATGAGAGCGGCCTCGGTTCGTGTGTCCAGCCCCGGAGAGCCCGGGGGTGGCCCCTGGGCACGGCTCCTCCCGTCCGGCCACGGCCTCGGGGCAAAGAAAACCCAAACCGTGTGGTTGTTCTTATGATTTTGTTTCGGTTGGAGCTCTCTGGAGCCAGGGAATGAAGGCAGCGAGGCCCTGCGGCTTCTCCCGGGGCCGGGCAGAGAGGGGGAAGAGGGGAAGGAGGGTCCGAGCCCAGCCCGGCCGCGACCCCGCTGCTCCCGTGGCTCTTCTCGGGGACACTCAGCAGCGAGGCCCGGCATCCATCCCTCCTCCCCGCAGGCATTGGGGCAAATCAACCCCTCGGGAGGCTCCTGCCTTCCCCCCGAGGGCGAGGCGAGGCTGCGGGCCGGGAGCCGTGCGGAGCCGCCGGCCGGCCGGGCTGCCGGTGCGGCCGCGGAGCTGATGCGCGGAATGAAGCGCCGGGCAGCGCCTGCGGGTGGCTGGATAAAGCCCAGCAGCCCCGCTTTGTCGTTTGTTTGTGCCTCTCCGGACTAGGAGCAGGGTGAAGGAATTAGCAAATTCCGCAGGGGAAGGTCTGCTCTCCGGCGCGGTTTCTAAGGAGCTTTATTACAAGGCTAAAAAGAAAAACACAACCAGAAATAAAATAGGGGGAGGGCGGGGGAGAAAAAAAACCCCCTCCCAACCCGAGCAAAGCTTACCGTCGTGGCCATTTAATTCAGAAATTTCGGGAGCACGGAGCAGCCGTGCTATTATGGGAAGCCAGGGCTCCGTTAGTGTGCGCTCCCGAGCCAGCGGAGCAAGGGGAGCGAGGCGCTGCTCCGCCGCATTTTCCAGCCATTATTCCCCACCGGGAAATTTCCCGATGAGAAATAGAGCGTCGTAATTTCGAGGGGGGCGGTGGAGGGGAGGGGGGGATCACTCGCCGGCCGTGCCTGGCCATCATGCCCCCGAACGCCTTTGATTTAGGAGGGAGGGAAAGCGGCACGTTTCGAGATGCTGCTGGATGCGTCCCGGCTTTTCCAGCCCTGCTGATCCTCAAGAGCGACGAGACGACCCCAGAGCAGGTTTATACCCGCAGCTCGGCTGTGTTTTATGTGTCTGTCTTCCCTAAACAGGCCGGGCGTGCGCTTCCGCACACTCTGCTTATTAAGGGCAACGTTTAAATGCATACAGCGAATTCCTGATCTTTCATCGTCTTAAGTACGGCTGGAAATACATTTTAAACCAAAGCTTTGCATCCAGGGATAACAGGCCGGGGGAATTACCTCCTCCGGTCGCCGAGCCCTGCGTTTAGTGCCTGGGAGGGTGCAGGGGAAAAGGGGGAGCCGGGCAGAAGTGACAGCAGAAGGATTTTTTTTTTTTTAGTGGGGGTTTCTTCCATCACCCAAACTTCCCTCTCCCTCGGGATTTGCCCGTGGGAGGGGGAGATGGGGGTCCCCATCCGTCCGTCCTTCTGTCCATCCTCTATCCCCCCTCCTCACAGTCGGCTACTGGTTTCCAGTTGGCTTTACTGGGAGGGGAAACAGCCCGGAAAGGCGTCTCAGGTTAAATCCTGGGCTCAGCGAGCCCCAGGGGGAAGAGCCCCATGGCGAGAGCTGGACCCGACGGGTGTGGGGCCGTGAAATGAAGGTGGGCACGTAGCAGCACCCCGAGCTGCCCCAGCCGACACCCCGGGAGGCTTCAAGGGGTGGCAGGGTGGTGGGGACAGGTCTCAGATGCCACCAGAGCCGTGCTAGGCCCGGACTAACTGCGGCCAGCACGGCCAGAAACGCTGCCCAGCTCAGACCTGGCTTCCAGCTCCGTCTAGACCGGAGGGAAAGAGAGAGAGAGAGAAAGAGAGAGGGTTGTGGTTTTAAACCCCTCGGTGGAAGGCTCACCCCCTGATTTCCACACGTAGTTTAGGAAAAGTTTGAGACCCGACAGGGCTTGGGACAGGTCTCCTGCTCAGCCCGGCCAGGATTTTCCCAAAGATGGGCAGAACCCGCTCAAACTCCAAAGAAGCGAGAGCGAAAGGGGATTTTTACCCCGGCTCTTTTCACCCTCGCAGTGCAAACCCTGCAAGGGACAAGTTCGGGCTCCGATATCCCAGATTGTGCCCTGCGGTACCGCTGCGACCTTGAGATTCAGGAGTTAAAGTCAGGACACAGCAGCCTCCAGCCTCCCGCTCTCTAACACCGACTTCTCTCGTGTTTTGGGTTTTTGTTGTTGTTGTTGTTGTTGTTGTTGTTGCCACGGCTTTGTTGCTGTAGAACAGAAATACACCACGAGTCGCCTTCCGCTGTCAGTATTTTTTAATTTTTAAATTTTTTATTTTGAAAAGGAGCTAATGAAAGAGAGGCGAGAATGAATCGCGTTTAAAAACTGCGATTCTCTGCCCCCCGGTTACGGCGGACTGGTGAAATCGTCACCCTCTCCCTCCCCCATTCCCGACGCAGTGTCCAAAACCGATTATGAAATTGGACATTTATGGTTGTTTAAACAGGATGGGAGCGAGCAAATTAATATGTGACCCTAAATACAGTGTGCGCAATACAAAATAATCTGAATAAAGTGACGGAGCGGTAGATCTCAGACCTTCCTTATTCCGAGAGGCAGACAATAGAAATTACTAGGAATATTCATAGTGTTCGGTCCCCATTTAAACCTGGCCACGAATGTATATTTTAAGAAAATCAAGGCGAATCGCAGCTATTTCATCTGATGGTCACACGCGCTCCGAAAAGGTTCGTTAATGAATTAAACAAATAAATAAAGCGCGAGGCGTGAGTAATCCCTTTTTGGAAAGCCAGCCCCTATTGTACTAACCGCTAATAGTGACATTAAAGGTCTTACTAAAACAAAAGTGCTTTTTTTAGGCTTTTCCTGGGGCCGTTCCCAGGCGGCGGGAGCCGGCGGCCCCGCGCTGCGGGGTCGGGGCGGGGACGAGCGGCGGGGTCGCTCCGGTCTCTCCCGGCCGGAGGGGAGGGAGGGAGGGAAGGAGGGAAGGGAAGGGCGGGGGTCACTGCCGTGGGTCTGCCCGTGACCTCCCTGTCTGCAGGACGCTCGTTTTGGGGCCTCTGAACGCGATCTGGTGGGTTGGGCTCGGCGGGGAGAGCCGGGTTTGTGCCGGTGTCCTGGGGGGCAAATCTGTTATTTTTTCCCCCCCATTTTTTTGCTTCTTCAATTTTTTTTCCTGGGAGTTCACCCTTTAATTTTTTAAAATTCTAGTTTTATAAAATAAAACTCTTGATCTTTACGCCCGTCCTTCCCACCGCTCAGTCCTCGGCTGAGCCCGCAGAGAGGAGCGGGTGGTCCCGCACATCCCTGCCCGGCCCTGCTCCTTCCCAAAACGTGACCTGGGGGCTTTCCCCCTCTCAGACCTTCCCCTGGCCGGGCTCGGGTGTTCCCCGCTGGCTCCGGACCCACCCCGGGATCCAGCGGTGCCGTCGGGGCTGAGATCCCCCGGCCCCGCTGCGGACGGGGCTCGGTGTCAGCGCTGCCCTCGCCCCCTCCTCCCGGCGTGACAGCAGAGCCTCGGACCTCAACGAGGGGCACAAACCTCCATGGAGCTCCGGGGCTGCCCCTCGGGAATATCCCCGGGGTTTTCCCGGCCGAGGGAGGCACAACCGCGCTGGGGAAAACCCAAAAAAAAAAAAAAGCAGAATTGGCGGCGAGCCCCCAGGGTTTGTCGTTGCTCCTTGTGAAGGCTGGGGGACCTTGCGCTCCGGGGAACAGCCCAGCAGACACAAAGGAAATACTCCAAGTTACAGGGCAACCCGATACTGAACGTAATACATGGCTAAGTAACTCTTTTAGCAGAATCCCAAGCTGAAAAGCTACCGGGCTTTCAAATGTGCCTGTGGACGAACTTGTGTACGCCGAGAGCGAAGGTGGGAGTTGTTCCCAAATATTTCTAGATCTTATTTCAGTTCCACTCACCCCGCTGCCTCCCTGGAAACAGGGAAATGCGCGAATGGCACAAAGTGAGTGCCGAGGTACTTTGAAAAACAGCCAGAGATGTCAAAAGGGGCATTTTGGCCGTGTTTGCCACAGGGAGCGGGACGGCAAAAGCAGCAGGAATTTTGGGGTGTTGTACAAAACCCCCTCTGACTCCGGGCCGGAGCTGTCGGAGCCGGAGCTGCCCCGCGGTGCCCGGGGCACAGCCGCGCTTGGGGCCGGTGGCTCTCCCTGCCAGGCATCCCGGTCCTGCCCTGCCCGGTGGGGACACACACCGCTCCAAACACCGGGAAAAGCAGGACAGAGGCTCATCTCGCCCGTGGCTGCCGAAAAAGCGGAGTTTGAGCCTGGGAGTGGCGAGTCACAGTCCCGCAGGGGCTCCGGGCCGTGCGGGCTCTGCCGCTGAGCCCAGCCCCGGCTCTCCGGGCTTCCAGCGCCGGAATCCCCCCAGCTCGATGGATGTGGGGGATCCCCGAGCCTCTGGCACGGCAAAGGAGCCGCGCTCAGGGCCGGGCCACCCCCACGGGTGTTCCCAGCGTTTGCGGGGAGGATGCTCCAGCTGCCCGCGCCGGCAGGGAATTCTCTCGCGGGCCGGGTGATTCCCGCTGCGAGGGGACATCTGGAAATGTCCCCTTCCAAACCGCCCGTGCGGTGACAAAGCCGTGTGGGACACCCGGCAGCATCCCCAGGCAGGGATAATATAATTGTAATAACAATATCATTGTACATAAATATGTATATATTTATATATAAATGTGTATATACCAAAATCGCCTCCCATCCCAGCGAGCCCCCGTTCCGCAGGAGCGGTGCGGGAAAAGCTCGCTGTGGATCCCGGGATTTTGGCCTCGCTCCAGGCCACCGAGCGAATTTGGGAGTTATTTACCGGGCAGGAGCAGCCAGGCCGAGCCTATGGCATCCATACATTTCCAGGAAGGCGCGTTTGCAAATCTCTCGGAGGAGAAGTTAATGGGCGTTAGTCCTTCATTCGAATGTAAGGTTTTATTCGTTTCGTTTTCACCTTTAAAGCGATCTGCTGGCGGATTAAATGATAAAATCACCGGCTTTAAAATAAGCTCAGACGAATGCCAGGCTGATCCGCCGAACGTGTTTACGTTTGATGCGCGTTCGCGATTGCGACTCCAATTTTGAATTCCAAAGGGACCAAATCTGAGCAAATGGCATTTTCTTTAAATTATTATTCCGGGCTAGGAAAGGACCTCAAAAGTCGATTTTGGGATGCTGAGAAAGGACAGGACGGAGCGAATTGTCTCGCACGGGTGGGGCAGAGACGCGGCTCGTTCTTGAAGAGTTTCGTAAGAGTTCAAGGAATAAATCTGCTTGGTCTTTGGGAATGGGAGAGCTCAGGGCAGTTTTTACACAGCTTGTGCGCCACTCTCTTTGTAGGTTTGCAGTCTCATATTTCCAAATTTGTAATTAGTAAATCGAAATAAGGGCAAACCCCGCCGCACCAGGAACAGACTCCGGAGTTTGCATTTGTTGCCGTCTCGGGAAAGAAACGGCAGGATGGCTCTGCGATTCCCAAACTGTTTCTCCCGAGAAACAAAAAAGCCTTTCAGCAAAAATAACAATTTTGTCGTGTGCCTGGAAGTTCAGGAGCCTTTTCCAAACGGAGAATTGGGAAAAGGCGGAGAGAAGGGCGAATTTTCGTTTGGCTCTCCCGAACAGATTTCCCAGCGCTTCTTTCAGAACAGGGAAGGTGTTCTTCCCTTTCCCACGGGAAAACGCGGGGAATTCCCAGAATTTGGAGAGGCGGACACGGGGTGGGGATGCAGACCACTCTTTTTGGGTGCTGCTGCTGCCTCGGGACGGCGAAAAGGAGGGCTCAGGGCCGGCCGAGGTCGCCGGTGTCCCCTGCCTGGCATGGGAAGCTCCTTAGCGCTTTCCCGGGGGTGCCAAGCGCCGGGAAGGGAACCAAACCTCGGGGAAGCTCCGCGTCCTCCCCGCCCCTTCTCGTCCCTCCAACGGGAGATCCTGCCCATCCCAAGGGATGCCCCAAGAGTGGAGAGAAATCCCCCAAATCATTCCCAGACCGGGTTTAAGCGGCCAGAGCACCAAGGGATCCAGAATCGCGGAGCTGGAGCTCAGGGCAGGGATTTCTGCCGGTTTTCCCTCCCATTCCGGAGGGGAAAAAGGAGATTTTTTTTTTTTTTTTGGAAGCCCCCGGGCGGCCAGAGGGCACCGGGGGAAAACGCGGGGCTCGGTTTCATAGCGGGGCATCCCCGAGCCGGGCCGATTGTGGAATTCCAGGCTGGCAGCACCGAATCCCCGCCTTTCATCCAAGGCAAAAAAAAAAAACAAAAAAAAAAAAAAAAAAAAAAAAAAAAAAAAAAAACAAAAAAAAAAAAAAAAAAAAAAAAAAAAAAAAAAACCCAAAAAACAAAAAAACAAAAAAAAACCACCCTTTTTGGGTTTTGAGGCCTCGCGGAAGCCGAGGGTTGTTGTGTCTCTCCAAAAAGGGATGCGGTCGCGTCCTTTCCCTTCCCCTCCATCCCTCGGGGGCAGTGACCGCAGTGCCACCAGGTGCCACAGGAATGCCCAGCTCTCGGCATGGCACGGTGGCGACCTCGGCTCCTCCGGGGGCTGCCGAGAGGCTCCTTTTAGCCCTGGAAGCCAAAACCAGCCAGGCAACCGAGCAACGCCATCAGCGCACACCCGGCCCGCCGCCCTGCCCGCCCCGCGGCG